AAATATATACATTACAGATCTGGCAAACATGATAAATGTTTCACGTGGAACAGTTTCTAGGCAATAGCTGTAGAACCCAATGGTCAATGCATACAGTCATCAGCTTCCGCATCTTTTTATAAGCTGCATGCTTTACAGTACAAAATAAATACGCAGTCAATTGTTATCTCAGTATTTGTTTAATTCACATACTGGAATGCTAAGGTGTGAATCCCCAAAGAACCCATACAGTGAGGATGCAGCCACTATTACCATATTTTGCAGCAGATCCATTAATGTTTTTATATGCATATAAATGACTATGAGGTTTGCTACCATACTCTTGAAATTTTTAGTTTTTATATAAATGCTTTTTCAGATTCAATCTTTTTCTTCCATTACCCCAAAGCCAATTTCTTGATATTTACATATAGGTTTTCATTAAGTTAAACTGGAAGCTAAGTGTTTAAAAAAAACCAAAAACCAAACAAACAAAAAAAAAACCCACAAACAAAAAGCCACAAACCCCGAAACACACAAAACCTCCAAAAATATAAGTGCAGTAGCCAGAAATCTAAATATAAAAGCTCATGGCCCCATAAAAAGCTTTAAAGGAATGGATTTAATGTATTTCCAAACCAATAAATACTGGAAGTGAAATTAAAAAATGCTTTACATGACCTCTGGACTTTGGATATCAAAAATCACTTCCAAGGAAAACTGAAGACCCTGAGACACATGCAAGCACGAGTCTTCTAGCAAAAATAGTTACAAAGCCCTAATTTTCCAGTTTTCCTCCAAAACGAGACCTTTAGTAGGCACAGTTTAATTTAAGGTTTTACATATATCAGCAGCAAATATTGAAAGCCATTATGTTTAATTATTACTGAATGTACACTTTGCAATGTACACTTAATACCAGATGTGTCATGTCAATAACAAAAATAAAATCGTATTTTTCTTGTCTAAAAAGTTCAGGAAGTCTCTATAGCACGCAGCCAGCTACGCCAGAGCTACCTGTGCTGACACAGGCAATACTTACGATCTTGAAATAATCATGTGTATCACGTTCTTGGCCTGCAAAACAGAAGTGCTGAGCATAGCATGCATAAGGTAAACAAATCCTCCTCTTTCTCCCATCATTACTCATGTGGATTTCTAGTACCCTTTTTTAATAGCTCAAGTTGTATTTGAACCGTTCACGATGTAAATGTCTTTCTGTCTCAAGTACTGTATGTCTAAAACCTTAACCTCAAAGGTTGTGGGATCAAGATGCTTGCTTAAAATGTGAAGAAGAAAAGAAAAACCCTTAACTGTAATTCAAGCAATGAAAGGTCACGATAACTAACTAGTACAATGCACAACAATCTTTCAGTCATCTCTAGAACTTGAGCAGTTTTCATATTACCATTTACAAAAATTCAACAAGTCACAAAGTCTGAAATGCTAAACTATGACTCCAGTAAACAGTTGTTTGTTTTTCTCAGATCTACTGTTTTGTGTTCAAGTTGGGCATCTAATTTATCTTCCAAGTGCCTGAACGTGTACCAATTGCAAGGAGAAAAAAAGAACTATATAATAAACCCAAACCTGAAACTAGATGACAACTAGAGATAAATTATACTTTGGATT